GCCACCCTGTCCTCTCCCAGTACGAGGGCTTCCAGCACTTCCTTTGCTGCCGCGACGAGAAGCAGTGGAAGCTGGGCAAGCGCCGGGCGGAGAAGGATGAGATGGTGGGCGCCAGCTTCCTCCTCACCATCCAGATCCCCACGGAGCACCAGGACCTGCAGGATGTGGAGGACCGCGTGGATGCCTTCAAGGCCTTCAGCAAGAAGATGGACGACAGCGTCCTGCAGTTGACCAACGTGGCCTCGGAGCTGGTGCGCAAGCACGTGGGGGGCTTCCGGAAGGAATTCCAGAAGCTGGGCAATGCCTTCCAAGCCATCAGCCACTCCTTCCACATGGACCCCCCTTACAGCTTGGATGCCCTTAACAATGCCATCTCCCACACGGGCAAGACGTATGAGACCGTGGGGGAGATGTTCGCTGAGCAGCCCAAGAATGACCTGTTCCTCATGCTGGACACACTCTCTTTGTACCAAGGGCTCCTCTCCAACTTCCCGGACATCATCCACCTCCAGAAAGGTAAGGGTGGCTTCTCTCCTGTTGATGACCTCTCCTGCACGATGGCCCCCTGTGCCAGGAGGATGCAAGGAGGAAATCCTGTGCTGTGCAATGATGGGAATGGGGATGAGGTGTCAGGATAGGAAAGGGAATGAGGGTGGGGGCCTGTGGCTCCCTGGGAGGCAGCGTGATCTCTGCTGGCACAGCTCCCTGTTTGCTCCAGCCGGGGAGAGGCTGCTGGGGCTGTTGGGTCCAGGATCAGGCTCTGTCCCAGGTGATGCTGTGGGCTCCTCAAGTGCTGCTGGGGGGAGACAGCACAGGTATTGTTCCCCCCAGGCCGTGGGCAGGAGCTCTTGGCTCCAGGGTGACCTGCTCTGATGTTATGAGCATCCCCATCCACCACCACTTATCCCTCCTCATCCTCCCTCCCCGGCTGAAGCTTGAGCTTGCTGCTCCAGGGCTGGGATATGACCTTGGGCTGGGGGGTGCTGCACAGGGCTGGTGGGATGTGGACGTGTCCTTTCTTCCCTCCAGCCCCACTGCAGTCCCCTGGCTGGGGGAGACACGCTGGACCTCCTGTGGGGACAGCCCGGGTCAAACTCCAGAGCAGGGC